CACAAAATTGAAAAAAGTGAAGGGGGTCTGAATACTTTCCAAATGCACTGTATGTACTGCACCACCAAAATAATCTTTAAAATAATTATAAGTTATAATATTAAGAGGCATTATTTTGTATTTTTCTGTACTTGTGTAGGGGCCAAATTCCCAATTAAATGGACAGCACCTGAGGCTGCATTATATGGTCGGTTTACAATTAAATCTGATGTCTGGTCATTTGGAATTTTGCTGACAGAGCTCGTAACAAAGGGACGTGTGCCATACCCAGGTAAAAGAAAGAAGATTACATCACTAATGTGTCAGTTATATCATTATACAATCTGTTTTTATTTTGGGGTTTTTACCAATCAGTTACAGGCAGTCCCCCAGTTAAAAACAAGTTCCGTTCCTAAGTCTATCCTTAAGTCAAATTTGTATGTTAGTCTGAACAGGTTATTCAGTTAAATGTTTGTCTTAGTATGTAGTATTTATTTTACTATTATATGCAGTACATAATAATAATAATAGTAATAATAAAGGAAACAATTCTTAAAACAGTTTAGATAGAGAAAAAAGATCATGATTAAAGATCAACACTTACTCGTGCTTAAAGGTTAATATTACATGACTACTGTTGAAGATGATGGGCCTGGTGTTGGAGAGGATAGACCTGGTGTTGGAAAGTCAGGATTTGATTCTGCTGCTGTAAAACGGGGGGCGGGGGGGGGGTACCACTGGAGTCAATTTCTTGAAGTAGGCATCAAAGGAGGTTTGTACACAGCTTTTCTTTTTCTCATCATAAATGGCCTTGTAGCAGCTGAGGCCCTCAGTAATCGTATGCTATACTTTGGTGAACCCCTCTCTGTTAGGATCTCGCTCCTCTAACTTTGCCATTCCTGCTTCAATGAGCTGAAAGGCCTCAGTTAAATCTTTCATCACAAACTTTTTTAGTTTTGGAGTTTGTGGGCCCCAGTCTGTGATGGAATGGAATTATGAAGGCCAGGCTCAGGGAGATAAGCGTTTTCTTAGCTCACCGCAACGGCGTGGGAACTACAAGAGGATGAGGCTGGCACCTCCCCGAGGAATTCACGGTGTTGTGGCTGGCTGGCTTGGAAGCTGGGGTTTCAGTCTGGGAAGATTCTTGTCAGGCCTAGCCCAAAGAACTCCAAGAGACAATGCAAAATCAGTTCAGCTATGTTTATT